TGTATCACCGTAATGTAACTATTTGAGTTTAATAAAGCTTCCATCTTAAAACATCATATTTTTCAACTTCGTTTTTTTTCTACATGTACAATATCTCATGATTTGTGTGTCCATGGAGAAAGTCGGGTAATCTAGATAATTTTGACAGCGTTGTCCGGATGCTTGCAGGAAAATATTCCAGATGGTTACACTGCATACATAAACATGGAAATTAATCTACAACCTTATCACGATTGCATGACGATTGTCTTGTTGCTAAGTTGCTCTGCAAAGGTTTTAACTTCTATGTAAGGTCCCCGCAGATTATAAGTACTACACTAAACCACTTGTGCAACTAACTCGATCGGGACTCCATTATTTCGCTTATCGACGGTATAAGCGAAACGGTATATTTGCAAACGAAAAATAATTTATAAATAAAATTTTTATATACGTGTTCTTAACGATCTAAAAGCAAATGCTGAAAAATAAACTACGATTGAAAAAAATCCCAAAATCAACTCCAAATTTAATGTTGAAAATTTAAATTTTGGCTTATAAGCATAAGCATAAGCTAAAAGATGAGGCTGTCGGTATAATGCGACAATTTTTACATACATATAAAGATTTGAACTCAGAATTTCGTGGTATTTCGGTCACTGCAACCATTACATACCCTTTCGCTTTTACGGTGTCTCTATTGATAGTACGAAATACAGTCAGGCGACTCTACCACGCCAGTTGTAATGAATAGAATTTCAAAGAAAAGGAGAGTATGAATAATGGTATATATTACAAACAAAGAGATCCAAATTGCAGATAAGGTGATAGCTGGTGGTTCGGTCCTCCAATGGACCATCAGTCCATCACCTTAGCTAAGAATATGTCACCATCGATCCTTCGCAGCCGTGGCGTCTCTGTCACTGAAGATGAAATTGCAGGAAGGAGATCCAAACGCACAAGCAGGATGCATGAACAGTATCAGTAGGAGGCTGCTATCGTCTGAAAGAAAGACTTCTGACTGCTCACTCATTTTTGTCCATGAAGAAGATATCGTTCTGCTAATCAAGCGTATGATCGGTTTGAGATTTCTTGAGATCTTCAGAGTTCAGTACAGTCTGCTCATACTGCAACCGTGGAATTTGACAGAAATTTGGGATATGTTATTACCAGAAGCAACTGGTCCTTTTACTGAGATGTTTCTTATGCAGTAAAACTGAAACTTTTTGAATGGATTAAATTTAAGATTTGAAACCGAACAAACTGTAGCTAGGAGTAATGATGATTGAGATCAGACGTGTAATTGGTGAATAAATATCTGGCTCTTTGCAACATGATTAAGTTAGGTAGGCAGTAGCGCTACTGTACGGTCGATGCAATTCTTTTGGAGCATGCACGGTCCCACTTTCCTTCAGTTGCATTCAGCCCCAAACATTTTCGGCATCAATCAACAATCCAACATCCAACTTGTTGGATCACCACGTGAACCTATTGGAAAGCATTCATTCCGTGATTATATATACGTTAATTTTCTCTGTAAATCCTCAATTACAGTGTTATTATTTTATTCTCTTCTCTTGTTTCTTGTACTAGCATATGCTACTATTGTTAGGGCCCCATTGATTTATAGGAAAAATATAGGAATTTTGGAGGATTTTAACCCTATGAAAAAAAAAATCCTATGAAGGCCTTTGAAACAAAGGATTAAATCATATCCAATCCTTTAAAGTTCCTATGAAATGGGGTAATCCTATGCACATTTTAGAGAAAAGTTAGCAAGAGGTCTAACCTCTTGGAACATTTCCTCTGAGTCTATCTCTCTCATCTGATTCCTGCGTTTTTCCTGTGGTCCAATCAAACGGTCATTCCTGTGTTTTGCAATCCTCTGTTTTACAATTGTATTTTTGTCAGAATCCTGTGTTTTTCCTATTCCTATTATTTTTTCATTCCTACGATTCAAAGGAGCCCTTAATTTGTTACTGTAAAATTTGTGCTCTACTTACTCTTCTTATTTCATCAGAGGGCATTTACACACCGGTAATTGATAATTCAGCATTCCAATTTCGCTATATTTATCTTCAAGGAAAAAAATATTCCTGCGCTTCAAACAAGTTCTTACAAGTTACAAGAAACAGCTAATGATCACTGAAGAATGAGCACTGCTCAAGATAGAATCATGTAAGGAACAAACCATGCACGCAATAGAAGGAGAGATATTTTTTGGTGCTGCTGATTGATGATCTTATCTCACATCATGCGCTTCAACAGCAAGATTGGTTTGTTTTGTCATGTACCCACAGGTGGGGAATCTCACTCTCACACCTCACCTCAATTACTCCCTTTTTCCAAAAGCATTAGTCAAGCTCGTGCAGGATGACTACTCACATTACTCGAAATCATTTTCTGATTTTTTTAATGCTCTATATAGTGCAAAATTACTTTAGTTTTTTAATGTAAAGTTGAGTGGTTGCATTTGGTTTCTCATTTTTCGATGGGAAAATGATTAATATATATGGAAATGGGAGTACTCAACAGTTCACCAACTGACACTAATATTACTCGCAGCCATCTTCTGATTTTTCTAATGCAGTAAAATTATTTCAGATTTGCAATATAAAGTTGAGTGTCCGAGGTTGAATTTAGTTTATGTTTTTTTATGGGGAAATTATTAATATGGCCATCAGAGTACTGGACGGTTCACCAACTAGCATTAAAATGTAAAATTCAAGCCAAATCTGTACCAAATTGATAACCTGTTTTCTCGAACGAATAAGCAACTATCTTTTTATTTGAAATATATTCTGCAAGATATCGTAGTTCCTTTCTTTCCAATAGCTCATTTTGTGCATTTCTCCCTTTTGATTAAGATTGCAGATTTTTAGGAGCTAAAATCCAAAGCTTTTTCATTCACAAGGCAATTAGTCGTCAGAGACAAAAGCATACCCACCGATTGCATTATTGGTGTCTAGTGTTGTTTCATGAAAACCCAGATCTTAGCACCATTTGACTACTACTTCCTCCGTTTCACAATATAATACTTTTTAGCATTGCCCACATTCAATCTAGACATATGCATGCGTTTTGATTCATTAACATATATATATATATATATATATATATATATATATATATATATATATATATATATATATATGCATCAACACATGACCCATTAATCAGAGTAATCAAGAATATCTCTCCAAGATCTTATGAGATTTGAGCTGTTCCATTATGTGGTGTAAAACATTCAAATATTCTCATTCAATTACAAAAGTAGAGGCTACAGGCTAGTACATAGTACAGTACTAGCACAAAGTGACAGCATATACCAGATGGGATAGATTCCCCTCAGCCACAAACTGCAAATTTGTAGTACTACGACTATAATTTTCAGTTTGTTCGCTAGTCTGTCAGATAATTGTACCTTCTTAATTTGCTGGGTTTTGTATAAATGGAGTACACATCTGAGATGCGCACATTTTCCTCGAATTAATCTTGTTTATGTCACTTCATCTTAAGCAACTTTCCCCTCAAAAAAAAAAAGAAAGAAAAAAGCTTGTGCCCACCACAGCACACCTATCGTTATCATCAGCGTGGACTAAGAACAGAACAATTTCTCATCTTTTGTTTCCTGAGAAGTTTAGACCACCAAGATATATGCTGATGATGCTGTAGATAGCTAGCTAGTTTTGCAATTACTTATGGGTTGCATCACAATCAGGGTCTGTTTAGTTCCCAAACAAAATTTTTCACGCTGTTACATAGGATGTTTGGACACATGCATAGAGTACTAAATGTAGAAAAAAAACAATTAAACATTTCGCCTTGAAATTACGAGACAAATCTTTTAAGCCTAATTGCGCCATGATTTGACAATTTGGTGCTACAATAAATATTTGCTAATAATAGATTAATTAGGCTTAATAAATTCGTCTTGCAGTTTCCAGACGGAATCTGTAATTTATTTTATGAGATACAGCTGCTTCGATCTTCCATCACATATTCAGACCGTACCTAATCTGAAAGGTTAGTAATTTGAACTGCGTAGTAATGCTACAAGGTAAATCAATCATCATCATCTTGAATTGGTTCCTCTTATAGCACTAGGTAAAAAGACAAGGGTGCATTCTGGCTGGGCTGTGTTCGATAAAGGAGTTTGACTGAGCTAGTTAGTGGCATGAAAACCGGAACAGGTGAATAGTACATGATAAACTCAGTATTACCTATTATAAACTTGAAAACTAAATTTATTTAAAATTTTAAAGACTAGCAAAGTAACGTGCTCTGCAACGGACGGATTTTAAAAGATTTATGTGAATTTCTTGATTTAGAAATTGTATTTGTCAAACATAATTGCAATCAAACATCCAATAGAAAACCAAACCACACACAAAGATGTATTTATGTAGCATTAGAAGATCTCACCAACTCTAAATGATGGTAGATTCACCATCACCATTAAATTCTTTTATATAGTATAAAAAGATTTTGTACGAAACACACTGTTTATAGCTTACAGTTTGAGAAACGTGTATGTTTATGATAAACGAGGGTGTAGCTGAGCCATAGCTAGCTAGCACAAAGAGCACCTCGTTCTTACAGAATAATTAAGCAGCCTGAAATTAATCTGAGAAACAAGAAAGAAAATGCAGAGACGTTAGCTGCAACTGCAAGCATGTCAAACTTTGGCCGACCGATCAAGAGAAAGGGGATGAGCTAAGCTATCGATGGCAGCAATTCGGCGCCGTTGAAATCAATCGAAGAGATATGATCCGATGATCTGATCTGATCTGACGATGGACATGCAGTGATGGCACGCAGCTAGTGAGCACTGATGAAGTGATGACACTCCATGCATCCAATCCAGGCAATGCATGTATTTCCTTTCCACACGAGGGGGGCCCACATCCACCTCACCTTATCCTCGTCCAGTTCCTGTGGGACCCAACCATGCAGTATGGCCACCCGGGCCCACCAGTCAGTGTGTGGCACCGGTCTCCGGTAAGCTCACCGGGGAGGTCAGTGCTCCTCACCACCTCCCGCTATATAACCTTTAGGCAGGCTGTCTCACCGAGCAAGCTGGAGAGCTAGCAGAAACAAACCCCTCTCACTCCCAGATACCTGCTGCTGCCACTAGCCCACTACCATGGATCCTTGCAAGGTCAGTCACTCAGTGACTAGTGAGACTAAATCTACTTAATCTTGTAGTTAATAATTGAGGTTTCATTTAGCTAGTTGTGTAGATTCAAGAGAGAGCTTAACTTCTTATAGAATATTTGGTCGATTATCAGAAACTTCCTGAAATAACCTAGATTATCGACTAGATTCTACGAATATTTCTTTTTTAGTCTCAAGCTCTTCAAACATGCATGGCTGGTTGATTCAGCTAGTCGATCATTAAGTATATAATTAATTAATTAATTAATAGTAATACGTGCTACCCATGCAGTTCCGGCCGTCGAGCTCGTTCGACACGAAGACGACGACGACGAACGCGGGAGCTCCGGTGTGGAACGACAACGAGGCGCTGACAGTGGGGCCCAGGGGGCCGATCCTCCTCGAGGACTACCACCTGATCGAGAAGGTGGCGCACTTCGCCCGGGAGCGCATCCCGGAGCGCGTGGTCCACGCCCGCGGCGCCTCCGCCAAGGGCTTCTTCGAGTGCACCCACGACGTCACCGACATCACCTGCGCCGACTTCCTCCGGTCCCCGGGCGCCCAGACCCCCGTCATCGTCCGCTTCTCCACCGTCATCCACGAGCGCGGCAGCCCGGAGACGATCCGCGACCCGCGCGGGTTCGCCGTCAAGTTCTACACCCGCGAGGGCAACTGGGACCTCCTCGGCAACAACTTCCCCGTCTTCTTCATCCGCGACGGCATCAAGTTCCCCGACGTCATCCACGCCTTCAAGCCCAACCCGCGCTCCCATGTCCAGGAGTACTGGAGGGTCTTCGACTTCTTGTCCCACCACCCCGAGAGCCTCCACACCTTCTTCTTCCTCTTCGACGACGTCGGCATCCCCACCGATTACCGCCACATGGACGGCTTCGGCGTCAACACCTACACCTTCGTCACCCGCGACGCCAAGGCCAGGTACGTCAAGTTCCACTGGAAGCCCACCTGCGGCGTCAGCTGCTTGATGGACGACGAGGCCACGCTCGTCGGCGGCAAGAACCACAGCCACGCCACCCAGGACCTCTACGACTCCATCGCCGCCGGCAACTTCCCCGAGTGGAAGCTGTTCGTCCAGGTAGGTGATCATCCAGAAATTAACGCCTATACGATCTGAGTTCGAAGCCGCAGTACTCCTTCTAATTAATTATTTAATACTGTTAGGTGATCGACCCGGAGGAGGAGGAGAGGTTCGACTTCGACCCGCTGGATGACACCAAGACATGGCCGGAGGACGAGGTGCCGCTCCGGCCCGTGGGGCGCCTCGTTCTCAACCGCAACGTCGACAACTTCTTCAACGAGAACGAGCAGCTGGCGTTCGGGCCGGGGCTGGTGGTGCCGGGGATCTACTACTCCGACGACAAGATGCTGCAGTGCAGGGTGTTCGCGTACGCCGACACGCAGCGCTACAGGCTGGGGCCAAACTACCTGATGCTGCCGGTGAACGCGCCCAAGTGCGCCCACCACAACAACCACTACGACGGCGCCATGAACTTCATGCACCGGGACGAGGAGGTGGACTACTACCCATCGCGCCACGCGCCGCTCCGCCACGCGCCGCCGACGCCCATCACGCCGCGCCCCGTGGTGGGGAGGAGGCAGAAGGCGACGATACACAAGCAGAACGACTTCAAGCAGCCCGGGGAGAGGTACAGGTCGTGGGCGCCGGATAGACAGGAGAGGTTCATCCGCCGCTTCGCCGGCGAGCTCGCGCACCCCAAGGTCTCCCCTGAGCTCCGCGCCATCTGGGTCAACTACCTCTCCCAGGTAATTCATACCAGCAATTTAGTATTACCTCCATTTTTGTTTTTATGACACTACTAGTTAAAGTTTGAACTAATCAACGTCATATAAAAAAAACGGAGGGAGTAGTTATTAGTAATGATTAATTGTTTTCTCTTAGTTAATCCACATGATTAACACCATGTTTAGCACAACAGTTTTATGAATCCATAGATAAATTATTTAATCCTATTTTATATGAAATATATAATTTTAAACCACTGTAGAGAATTTGAAATTAATATGACTTAATCGCTATTAATTTGCACTAATTCCGGCAAAAAAAGCTATTAATTTGCACTAACTATGTAATTAACTCATTTACTTCATGCAGTGTGATGAGTCGTTGGGGGTGAAGATTGCGAATAGGCTCAACGTGAAGCCAAGCATGTGAAGAAACTAAGGCACAAGAATGCATCATCTCTTGTTAATTAATTGGAGTACTACCAACCAAATAAGGCCAGACAATGTCAGATGCACGCATCTTCTGTTGTCGTTGGGCCATCTTTTGTATGCATCCTATTGTTAATTACTAGTACATGATATCCAAGTGATCATCAGCAAGGCTACAGAAATTCTGTAATACGATAAATTAAAAGAAACCAAAATGGAGCCTGCATATGTGTAACTTAATTAATGTACTGGCGTATTAATGCCACTGCTGCATGTTGTAATACTCCATCAAAGAGTCTATTACTATTAAGTATTTAAATTATCACTTCAATGGTCTCTTTTTTTTTTCCCAAACCATAGGTCTATATACGAACCATATCTACGACATCAGTGGTTTAATTATCATGTTTGACACCGCCAACTTCATACAGAAACTCTACCTCAACATTTTGTTTCTCCGCTATACTTACAATGACTTTAATTAGGGAATGTGATTGCTGTGATATTGAGAATGGTAATATGCCGTCTGACTTTGAGTTCTTTCTAATTTCTTAAAATCAATTTTTAAGCTGAGTTATATCATGATCCCAGCCTTACATAACCTTTTGGAGCGGCAATGAAACAACTGTGACCCACACAGCGAGTATATTCATTGGCGCTGAGTTGTTCGTGTCGATATGAAAACGAAATAAAAACAAACCTGTTTATGGTAATGATAATTAATATCTAGTTGGATGAATCATTAATTTTTTTTATCTTCATTCCAAATTTCAGATTAACCAATAAACCATGTTACCGGTGCTATCACCTATCATTTACTACGTTGTTCAAACAAAAATATGGTAGATTAATTCTAGCACCGTGAAAGATGCAAATCGAATTCTGTTGCAATTCCGTAGTAACGTATCAAGGCGATTTACACCTGTCATCCTCTACAAAGTTGAGCTAGGACTACATATCACCTGGTATTTTCAACTTGAAAAGGAAGAAAATCAGGTGTAAACGACTCAAAAGCATGCTACAAGGATGCAAAATTGGACTGCCACAACAATTCTGTACAACCATCTGCTTCGCAAGCTAAAAGAAGGAAAAATACTACAGCACGGAGACGCTGATCATCAGCTCACCCTGTTTGTGCACGCTAAAACTGCCTCTTTCAACTGTTCTTTGTCTAATGATGTCTCCACCATCACCTGCACAAGAGTTCAGTCCATGCTATGTAAGAATGACAACACACAATTTTCAGCTTGTGACTCGATCAAGCATTTAACATTAATTGTCCATACCTCTTGGACATTATTTCCATAGCGTGCAAGGAGTTTATATTTCTGACCAACCAAAGGTGCCATATACACCTAGCAAGCAATAGATTTAAAAAGGAAATAAGGTCAGGTGTCAATTCCAACAACTAAGGTGCAGAATTGTGTGAATGCTGAACATGAAACGTATCTACATTTTAGATTTTACCTGAAAGGTTGGAGCTAGTCCTGGGCTTCGCAAGAATCGTCCTTTATAAACATCCCTAACTTCCTCAATATTTTTCATCTCTTCCATGAGAGCATCCACTTCAGGCCACTAAAATAATTATGATCAAATAATGGAGTGTTAAAACAAGGATGCAACAAAGTGGATGGATAAGGAAAAGAAAGAAAATCAATGCCACAAGGCAGACGTATGAAACAAACATTGCATGACCCAAGTTCACTGCTATGTCTACAGCTCTCAGAAATGTCCACAAAATATCCAGAAAAGAAGTTTGAATGAAGAACAATAACTAATTAAACAAACTAAGAAGATAGGAAGGATCCAGGCTTGGGTAGCACAGACTCCCCGCATTCAAATACAGAGCTCTATCAACTTCTGTATGACAAAACATGCTTGCAATAGAAGGGAAAAAACTCAGGTATGCCCATATTCAATCACAGACCATGCAGGAGGCCCTACCAGCAAACCTACAAAAAGTTTCGATCTCTTTGGCACAGGCTAAGATATTATACATAACTCAGAAAATGGGATGCAACTGCCATGTAGCAGCTATACATGTTTTCATCATTTAGCCAGAAGTTAGAAAACAATCTGATGACGTGGTTTTTCCCAGTTGAATAGAGAGAGGGCATTAGATTTAGATTTCAGGCCCTCTAAATATGCATAACCTTCAAATCACAAACAATGAAAAATTTCAAGATGATGATAAATAATGCCATAAGTCACACAAACCTCAAAATCTGCTTCTGCAGGTTCAAGAGCTCCACCCAGTGATAGTTCCTCACCAATGACAGCTTCCAATGCGCCTACTGAAGGATTTGGCTGCATAGAAGGGGGAAATGACAAAAATAATAAATGAAAGCCTGAAATCAGCAATTCAATAAGCTGAACCACCATGAGGGAAAAGGGGAAAGGCCCCCAGGTACCTTTACATCTTTAAGTGACAAAAATATGCGGTTATTATTATAGTCCAGTTGAATAACTTTAGCATCCACAACCTGGAAATCAAAATAAATTTCTGTAAATCCCAGAAAGTTTGGCATTATGATCATTGTCACGTGATGTATCTAAGTTTCTAGACGATATAGAGAGGTATGTCAGTTTCAAAATGAACATGAGAACTTGCAACTCCTCCTTTATCCACACATGGGTGCACACACACTGTTAACAAAGCCAGATTGCAACAAAAATAAGGTCCATGCAAAAAACAAGTGTTACCTGACCAATTTTGTAAGAAACTGATGGGTCCAAGGTTTCATCCCAAGACACTTCCCACTGCTGAATTAATGCGGGAACTCCTTCAACCTTTGAAAGAAACAGTTAGCTGCTGATACTGAATGAAAAAGCGTAGAAAATATGGTTAGACCTACCTCAACAAATATCCCAAAGTAAACAAATCGCTTGATAGTGCATTCAACAATATCTCCCACATTGAGCTTAGCCTGCATGTTAAGAAAAACAGTGTGTGCAGCCGAACAAATAAATAAGTAATAAAAGGGAAAATGTTGGACCATGCTAAGCATAGCAAAAGAACTAAGCTAATAGACATTTCAACATAGTAAGTACCATGAGACTTTTCTTTTTCTGAATCAATTCTTCACTTTCTTTTGGCTTCATAGAGAAAAATATTTTCTTGGATTTTCTGTCAGCCAGGACAACTGAAACACGGAGTCTCTGCAAAACAAGCAATGGCATGTTAGCTAAAAGGGTTCAACTGAAGAATGTTTGGAGACTAACAAAAGATTCATACTTGACCGATAAATGATGATAAGAATTTAGATTTCTCAGTGTTATATGTTCGAAGAAGATCTTCAAATTTTTCCTTAGATGGCATAGAACCTTGATCCTGCACAGCAAGTTCTGAATCTGAGCTAGATACTGATTCTATGTTCCTGTCATTGACCTCAAAACTTTCTTCTATGCCCACACTCTGCTTGAAGAGTGAAGGATCGCCACCCTTTTGTCTTAACCAAGTCTCAAAAGCTAAGAATTTCCATTTTGTAGCAAGATTGCGATACGGTAAGAAACCTATCAATGAATCGAGTGATACCTGGCAAAGAAATGATGATAGAGGTCAGGTACCATCAGTTCATTATAACTTGATTAAAAAGGTGCTAATTCTAAAACTGGACAAAAACTTACAACAAATCCTTTCGAGCTGCAGTTTATCAGCTCCACCTCAACTTTTTCTCCGGTACTTGCATAATTCTCCAGCCTTGTCCAGTCACTCTCTGTGATGTCCTGCATTAGTGATTCCATAAACAAGAGTTATAATCAATATCTAGAAGAATTAAAAGGATGAAATATGACTCAATGACCCTTGAATAGGGAAACATCTCATTCCACAGAAGGCAACACCCACTCTAAGAACTACAGTTGTTGAGTTTGATAATAAGCCTATAAGATGCTGAAGCTCAAACATTATGAAATTCACATTACCTCTAATTTCGATGATAACACATTGCCTCCATCATCAACATAATTCATGTTATTCTCACTGGCATTCATCTTCTCAGCATCAACTTGAGATGGAAATGTTTCAACAGCTAAGTCTTTCCTACAATGTAGTAATTGCCATATTAGTGGTAGCTCGGCCAACATGCGAGAAACTGTAATGACGTGAGTTACTCAAAAGAAGAAGGGATACACCCAATTTGGATCAATGTAACAACATGAAGTACAATTAGTTAAGCAGAAATGTCAAATATATATTTTACAAGCGATGAAAATGTTATGCTAAAAATAGAAGTGCATAGTTTCATCAGAAAGTACATCTTAGGTTTTCCTTGCAAGAAAGCTTGCATAGAGAAATTACTGCTGACGGCTGATTGATCATCCACCACAGAAGGGTCGCCTTCTCGGTTAAAATTTTGCTCAGATGGCTGTAATTCTTGAAAATTTTAACATAACATTAGTATGATGGATGAATAGAGACTAGTCACTGATCTATTATGCCTTCCTTACCTGCACTAAGATCATCAGGAAGCACAGATGACTCACGATCATTAATACTGTCAATCACTACTCTTTCATCAAGACCTGAAGATTGAAAAATTTGCAATCCATCAGATCCAAAAGAACCAGCTCATCATGGCCTGTTGCATTTGGGATGTTGTACCTTACCATTTGTTTCTGGGTCAACTGCACCATTATCCTCTCCAGAAGCAACAGAGGCAGGTCCAGCATCAGACTTCTCTTGATTTGAATTCATATTATCTACTGAAAGCTCTGGCTTTTGAAGAAGAGAGATGTTGGCCAAATCCTCGTCCATATCTTTCCTCATTTTCAAGTCAATATTTGGTTTCAGATTCAGCTTCGACTTCAATTCATCATCATCACTCTGATGTATGGTGGGTTTCCGCAAGGAAACATCCACATTGTTCTTTCTTGAGGTGCTGCCAACATCGCTCGACTCTCTTCTGGCAGCTAAGCTCCCCTTGCTAGGCCAACTATCTTGCACCGGTTTACCCCGGACAATTGGTCTGCTTCCCATTGGCCGCACCAAGGTTAAAGAAGTGTTATTTTCCTTTGGCTTGCTCCCTACCGGTCGTAATGGAGCCAAAGAAGGACCATCTTGCTTGGGTTTGCTCCCTGCTGGTCGCTGCAAAGTCAAAGGAGGATCATCTTGCTTCAATTTGCTTCCTGCTGGTCGCAGCAGAGTCAAAGCAGGCTCATCTTGCTTTGCATTGGTCTGAACAGGTCTTGACATGCTTGGAGAATTTTTGTCTACCATTGGCTTGCTTGTTTCCTCTGGTGATTCAGAAGTCTGTTCCTGTCTGTTAGCATCCATAAACTCCCTCAAAATATCATCCAACTTGGCCTTTTTGTTGGCAATTAGATTCTCTACATCGAGCGATGAAGCATCTGGGTCTGCTTTCTTGAGAAGTATCTGAGGGAATAATTCAAAAACACTTAAGGCATGCTAATGATGAGAAAATCAAGTGACAGAAACATCGCTACAGAACACGTGTGAAATAACCATGTGTCAGTTTGTAGTGTACAGGTTCGCAGTTATCAGATCTTAGAATCCTAGCAATACATTTGGGCAGTACTACTACTTGGGAGTTGAGTCAAGGTTCAGCCACAAAAATAAAATTCAAAATTGTAATCCTCAGATTATTAGGCTCCAACTGCAATGAGCAATTGCGACTAGCCACATTGGTAGGAACATCCTAGCAAGACTGGATAGTATAGTATATAGGAGTACTAAACTACTCCATCTAGCGACCTTCTTATTTTAAACTAAAAATAAGTAAATTTAGCACAAACCATCCAAACTTAAGCATGGAGTACAACAATACAGTCATATTGGACAACATAACAACATATGCGGTGGTACAAATACTAGAAAAAAATAAGGCTGCAGTAGAACCTGAACACTAGTCCACAATTATGCACAAACATTTCTAGTACATACCCGCATGATACTCACAAGTCGCAACGATCGTTTTGCTACAATTAGAACACTCGTGACATCCTATCTATCAACGCAAGTATGAATTCGCATTGAATTTTTTTAAAAAAAACAAGGCGACATTTCCATCTTATTCCGAGAGCCTCTACTCTCTCTAGGGATGAGATGAGAGCAGTAGTAAGGCAGGCACACGGGAGGAAGGAAACCTTGGCGAGGGTGAGCTTGGGATCCTCGCCGAGGAAGCGCCCGAACTCCAGCTCCATCCTGTCCCACTCGTCGAGCGGGGGCAGGTCCCCTCCTCTGTCCCCACCGGCGCGCGGCGGCGCTCGGAGGAGGCGCACCCGGCCGGACCGGGGGGCACCTCTGCGGCGGAGCAGTACGGGGCGCGCAGCTGCGCCGGCGCCCGCGAAGACGCCGGCCGCGGCGGCGGCGGCGGCGAAGGCTTCCATGGCCGGAGCGGAGGAAGGCCGGCGAGGTCGCGGTGGGGTTTAGCGGGATGGGAGCGAGGTAACGGATAAGTTAGCGGGGGCTTCGGCCCCGATACACGCCACGTGGCACCATCTCAACCGTTTGTTCCTCACAGGAGAGAGAACCTGCCATAAATTGAATTTTCCTTCATTTTGGTTGGAATTTTCTACTCCGTTGTGGTGGAACAGGCGATTTGAAAAATTATAAGTTGAATGAAATTTGCATCGAACTTGTCACTTGTCAGTCGTATCAAACATGGGCTACTCTGATTCAAACATTCGTGTTATACTAGCACTTGTGTACTTGTGTGATGAAACAAAGGAGCTTGATCATTTTTTGTAAATCAAGCCGAAGTTTTAAGAGTTTATCGATCTGTTTGGGCTATTTAAATTCAGTTAGCTTTTTACTCCGAACACTTCGATTTGTGATCTGAAAACCCCAAAAGTCTTCGGAGACCTCTTTCCGATGAAAAATCTTTTTTGTGTAATTCCAAATGTGAAGCAAGTCTCCGTATTTTAGTGGTGAAACTGAATACTTGAAATTCAACATAACCCCAGTTTTCTTCTTTAACCATAAATCCAAAAAATTTTCTACCTCCTTTTTTTTCATGTATTTTTCTGATCAGGAAAAATAAAAAATTATGTCAGTTATTTTGAAATTATTGTAATCTCGTACACACAAAAATTTGTAATTATTCATCTACTACTGGAATTTGGATTTATTTTATCGATGCAAATTGGATTTGGATAGAAGGGTACATTCTTTTATTTTAGATAGAAGAAAAGTTTCTTCTATCTAAAATAAAAGAATTTTGCTAATTTATTTATTGCTATATCCAATTTATGGAATTGATACACCGTTTAATTGATATCATTTAGCAAAATGAAACATAGCATATGCATCCATCTTTCGGCTCGAGAATTTCACGGGATAGAGATATGGTATAAGAAATAGGCTATTAAGTAACTCTAAATGAATTGTGGATACATCTGTATCCTTAACATACTGAAACAACTGCCATTATTCGTATCAAACCAATAGCGATTTATACAAGTTAAATCTTCTAATCAATGGTGGGCCAATAATGAATTTTTTTACATATGTATTAAGACGCTTGGCCTGATTTCGAAATTGTCCAGAGTTTTTTATGTAGTTTTCATTGCAAAATGATGGATCTCCTTCCGTAACTTTCCAATTACGAGTACGAGAATTGAAAGACATGAAAATTCTCAATTCTCTACGGCGTCTAGGAGATAGATAGAATATTTTCAGGAACAAGAAAACCAGAAGAATCTTTCTCTCTATTCACTACCATTCCGCGTCTTCGACTTCTATTAGTTTCTTTTCTTCTTTAATGCAATAGCTATAGTTTGATATAGAATCCATTTCTCAAAGTAATGGAAACCTTTCTCTTATAGGAAATGGTTCGAAAATCGCTATTCCACCTTTTAGGTATCGTGAAAAGTGATACCTGTGAAGATCGTGCATTTCAGTCACATTCAGATCCGTTTTTTGAGTCCATGATATAACCAAATTGGATGGATCTTCCACCCGTTTAGCTAAGAAACAATAGATGCAGAGGTGGATAATAGATCGATATGAAGATCATGAGCTGCCCCATAATGAAACCACCAGGAGTCGCGAATATCTCCTTCTTCCCTAATCCAAGATTGGAGAAAGAAGATCTAAGAGGGACCCATGGAGAATGTGGTCAGAAACCCATAATAGAGTCCGACCGCAACAACCGAATTAATTATCCTCATCGAGAAACTTAGACTACTAAGTAGAAAAGATTTGAAAATCATGGCATGGGTCTCCTTTTTTTCTTTCTTTAGAGTTTTCTATATG